GTTCTAGAAAGATCACTCTGGCCACAGCATAAAGGCTGGACTGGAGTAAGAGAGAGCTTAAAAGCAGCAAGGATCCTCAGGGGTCGGGTGTGGACCAACTTCTACCTGGAGTTATCCAGTTAGGATCTAGTGAAGATCTGAAGATAGAGGAGAGGGACCTGAATGGATGTTCAGCGAGGGATTCATTCAATAAAGATTTATTGAGTACCTACTTGGGGATAGAATAAGGTACAACATAATCCTGCCCTGAAGGAGCTCATAGTCCAGTATGAGAGACAATCAAGTGAGCAGTTACCCAATGGTGTGTTAAAGATATAGCAGAGGTATGGAAAGTGGCTAACTGGGGGAAGAGGCACAGCATGGAGGCCAGAGGAAGTTAGCAAAAGCATCACAGGGGCAGGGTGTCTAATCTGGGTGCAGAAAGATGAGTAAGAGTTCACCAGGCAGACAAAGAACTGGAGGTAAGAGAAGCAGTCCACCCAAAGGGAATGTTTGCCTGTTTGAAGACACTTGGGGTCTATGAAAGAACAAATCAGGGGACAGCAATGAGTTTGGCCTGACTAGAGCCCAAGGTGGGAATGAGGGAGTGGCAGGCAATGAGGGTACAGAGATAGGCATGGGTCAAGTCATGCTGGGCTTTGCCTGCCATCCCAAAAATGTGGGACCCATGTCATTGGTTTCCAAATCCTGTTTAAATGGCAGAACACTTTGGTCAAAACATCTTTAGCCAGCACCCCAATTATAAAACAGATAAAAGTGAAGCAACTTTAGTTCAATTGGATGTGAGAAGATTAGCACTTCCTCTCTTGGTCTCCCTTTTACCCCTCCAAGTCACCATTGAAGCAATCCGAACACAGTTTGAGAACCATCTGCAGCAGATGGCAGTGATGTGGGTGGGAGGAATGTGGCATTGAAGGGTTTTAAAAGGCAATGCCATGATCCCTGGTGTCTAGCTTCATTTTGGAGGTGAAGGGTCTGGAAGTGCTTGGTACCAGTAGGTATTCTGTGTGTGTGTGTGTGTGTGTGTGTGTGTGTGTGTGAGAGAGAGAGACAGAGAGATGGCTAGTGCCCTGGGAGAGGTAGGGGTTTGGGGCCAAGGATACTGAGTTCCATTTTAGATAGAATGGGTTAAAGGTACTTTCAGAACTTCCCCATGGAGAGATCTAGTGGGCACCTGAAAATATGAGTGTGAGCCCTGGGCAATGGTGAATGGTGAACTCCAAGTTGTATGCTTGGGAGTTTGATGAATAAGTGATTGCTGAAGTCGTGGACTTTAGTACAATCACCTAGAACTGTACAGAACACGAAGAAAAAGTAGGCAGAGCCCTGGGGACCATGGACAGTTAAGGGGCAGGTGGAGAGGAGAAGCCAGGGAAGGGGGCTGAGAGAAAGAGAGGTGCAGGGGAGGAAGCAGGCGAAGGCAGCATCTCAGAAACCAGGTAAAGAAAAATAAACATAAGCTTAAACATGTAATCGGTATTTAATAGTTGGTTGCCTGGAAATGAAAAAGGAATAAAGGCATTTTGTTGGCATAGCATATTCCTTTTAAAATAAATCTGAAGCATACTTATTTTTTCCAGAAATACACACCCTTTATATATGGGTATAGATTAGTCTAGCAAAATAACAACAACTGAGCTCACAATGTAAACAATATCATTGTTGTTTAGTGGAACTATTCGTCTCTCCTCTCCAGGGATAAATGAATTCTCTCAAATTTCTGCTCATCAGTCAAAATTTTACATTCAATTGAGTGTTCACTCTGAGTTTAAAATGATTCTGTGACTGTGAATGCTTAGAAAGTTGTGCTTTGGTAAATTGAAAATAATTTTTCTAAAGTGATGGGCTAATTTGAAATCTATATTCTTTTTCTTGTTTTGATTTTTGCAGCCTAAATTGTAAGGCGTATTTCTCTGATTGTACCAGATGAAGTGTCCTGCTCCACAGGGGATTCGGGGGCTTCTAAGACCATTCATTATGGGGCGGATACTGGCACTCAGTAGGGCTCAGAGGATGCTTATTGAATGAATGGATGATGTACTATTGTCTCTCCTAAATATTAATCCACATCTCAAAGGTGTCTGTATTCAATGAAATGAAAAAGAAAACATTTTAAAACTCATAGCTGAGTAATTAGAGATTACAACTCCTGCTCTCTCTTTCTCTTTCTTGTGGGTACAGTATTCTGCACAGAATGCTACCCTTGGAAATCCCATTATAGCCGCTGACTCTGTAACAGCTTCTTGAAGAAAATCTTTTCTAAAGAATAAGCATAGAACATGGCCTTCGAATTCCCAAAGCCTTGTATTTTTCAGATTATTCAACATCTGGATTTAGTTAATTCTCTCAACAAATATTGATTGAGTGTCTACTATATGCAAGGCACTGAGAAAATGCAGTAAATAAAACATTAGAAGATCCTGTTGTCATGGAGCGGACATTCCAGCCAGAGGAGATGGGCAGTAACAACAAGGATGTGATGTGTGTCAGTGGAGATGAGTGCTAAGAACAAAACTAAAGCAGAGCGAGGGGTGGAGAGTGATGGGAGAGGGCTGCTGTTTTAGATAGGGTGGTTGGGGAAGGACAGGTAAACTGAGACCTACAGAAGGAAAGAGATGTCTGGGTGGAGGGTGCTGCACGTGCTCAGTTGCAGTCCCCTTAACGGCTCACCTCAACACAACAGGGGGGTGGGGTGCGGGGAGCATGTGCTGTGTGAATGCAAACTTCAACCCAGCCAAGAGACCTGTAGCCCTGTGAACATTATGATATATAGCTTAGATAATAGCTGTTAAAAATCAACTCTTCAATTGTAACTGTAAGACAGTTTTTGCAGGTGACTTTAAAATAAAACAACTTCCATTATTCAAAAATCCAGAATGGCAACCAGCTCTTAGAAATGACTAGAATGACCTACTAGTATTCCCTCTTTTTTTTTTAATGGAGACTTTTGCTCCCCTGCTGAGATCATGTATTATATCTAGTTTCACATCAAAATGAATTTTTGCTGCTAAGTTTGAAAACCGCCTGAAAATAGCAATTAATATTGGAAAAGCTGACAGAACCCTACGTGTAGTGGCATGATGGTGCTGCTATAATTATGTGCCTGAGTGTGTACATGTCTACGTAAACACAGTAGAAAAACACACTTGATGTCCAAGACAGTGTATCAGTGTATTTTCTTGCAGGTAAGTGAGGGAAAGAGGGAGAGGGAGAGGGAGAGAGAATTGCTCCAAGTTTTATAGCACTGTTAGGTGGTATAGACGTTTCTAGTCTTACATCTATATAACCTTGTTTTTCAAATTATTTTCATATTGCTCACTTCATTTGACCCTCACAACTTGCTAGGGGGAAAAAGGCAGGGCGGGCTTTGTTCTTTCATCTGATGGATGAGAAAACTCAGTGGGTCAGCTAGGATGACTTGAATTTCTTATCTGCAAAATGAGGAGATTGGACTACATCATCTCCAAGGTCCCAACAGTTCTATGACTTTTTTTCTGATTTTCCTGAGGTGACACAGCTGTTTAATGGTGGAGACTCTCTTTAAGCCCAGAACCCTTTCTGCTACACAGTTCCTCCTTATATTCTTCAAACCCTTCACTGCATGTTTAATTATGTGTAAAATGTGACATCTACAGTACAAGGTTGTTAAGAAGACTGTTGAAGGGTTTAAAGGGAAGGTTTGTGAAGCACCTAGCACTGTGGTTGCTATTATTATTATTGTTATAACTATTACTAATAAGAAGGCAACGTAATGTAGTGGAAAGAGCATTGCGATGGAGTCAGGTAAGTTTCCAGTCATTTACCAGTTATGTCATCTCGGCCAAGTCCTTTCTGAGCATCCTGTAAAATGGAGCTGATAAAACCTACATTGTTGGGTGGTTTGAAGCCTAAATGAGACAATGTATATAGAACACCTATCCCAGTGTCTGACACCTACCAGACAGTCAATAATTAGTTGGTAGGTGTGAATGATAAACCACCTTTCCTAAGAAACTGGGATATATTTTCATGATTCCCTTGAAACCTAAAGGGGCATTTCATAGAGGTGAAGTGTAACCTTGAAATTAGCAGAGGCATACAGTCATCTTTTAAACAAATAAAAAGAGAAGAAGATTCTAAATTTTAGCCATTCTGTGCACATCTAAGAGGAAGAGGCAAAATCCACATGCACCCAGTAGTTAGCAAATGGTCGTCGTGGAGTCTCATGTCAGATGGTCTTCTGAAATCTGGTATATATTTTACTCAAGTCCACCCATTCTCCCCACTACAACAACCTCATAAGGTTGTGCAGTTTATTTAGAAAAGCCTGTTTACTCTCATTACACGACTTTCTTTGAAAAGCAGTCATTTGAGTACTGTGAGGAGCTGCCTTGGTATAATGATGACCATTATGAAGGATTCAATGAAGTTGGAAACCAAGATCCTATAGCCTTGTCTCTGACAGCGTGGTCATGGAAAATGCTGGTGGCAGGACTGAAATGTGAAAATTCTCTGGTAGGGATTGTGGTTACTTGTCTCTATGGAGGATTTCTTGGCATTGAATTTTCAGGGCACAATAAACTAACATTTATAGACATCTGTTGCCACATGCTCTGGAGCTGTGTTGTGGATGTGTTGGCAGCTGCTAAGTAGTCACAAGGTGGGTGGCACTGCCCTGGACCAGATACTCTAAAATCTAGTTGATGGTTTAAACCACCGGAGCCAAGAGAGGTGTGTGTGGTACAGAATACCAGCATTGAGTCACATTTTGTTTATTACATGCATTGTTTGAAAAGGATAAAACATAGCAACTGGCCATTTGAATATGAAACATATATATATTTTTTGATGTTTATCTGTCCTTGAAATTATTTTCACTGTGAATGCCCATCCTGTGTGGACACCTCAAGAACAATTGTGTTTTCTACCTGAAAGCAGTACATTAAAAGCTTCCACCGATGTCTGTTATGTTTGGTTGCCTTCCAGTTTTAAATGTGTGAATTTCCTTTTTAATGTTCTAGGGAAAAGCAATGGTATTCGCCCCACGCCGAGGGAATACTTTAAACCAGTTTTGCAATCTAGCTGAAAAAGCTGATTTCGCTATCCAAAGACATGAAAATTATGATGAACACATTTCAAACTTCCACTCCAAGGTTAGTTTTCTGCTTGTGTTAGATAACACTTTAATCCGCATTGCATTTTGAAGAGATCATGGTCGTTTTGGCAGGTAACCTAAATATTTGATTAAAGTACTCCTTAGGTGTGCTGCTTCTGAACAGCTATTTGTATCTGATTGTTTTGTTTGGTAAAGCCATCTTTTATCTTTGCGTGTCTAGAAGGATCTTACAGAAACCATTCCTGTTTACTCCTTTCTCTGAAACAAACTAATCTTTTCATTCATAATAGACTAATTTGTAGGATGCAGGGGAGGTGGCATAGAATGAATGATAAACAAGCATTTATATTTTAATGAAAAACCTTCAGCTTTTAAGTAGGTTAAATGCTTAGCTGCACTGAAATAAATAGAAGGTGAATGTCTAATTGTATCATGTTGGACTGTAAATCTTTATCTCTGCTTGCTTTATGACTGGGTCAGTTGGCAGTTTGAGACTGTTAAATCTCATACAGAATTTCACATTTGTGGGGTTATATGTCAGATCGAGGCGCTACAAGATTTAGGTCAAAAGCACTTATCTGAGAGTGATTTCTAAGCTTGCTTACATAAAGCAATGTTATCAGCCTTTTTATTAGTTATAGGTACAGAGCAATATAGGACACTGAGAGGCAAGCGTTCTACTGAAAACTTTTTAGAAATTTCATGTTTGCTAATACGTGTCACAGTAACTAATAGAACATGTATTACTTCTGTAATTTTGTGCTTTACAGAAATCTCCCTTCTCTGAGCTAGTCTGACCTTGGGCAGAGACTGACTTGTCATGATTTTGCAAGTTGCGCCCGCAGAAAAGTAAAGGCCTGACTTTAATTTTCTCCTGGGAAAATGCGAACAGCATTCTTTATTACCCAGGACTATGATATAATGTAGAAGTGTATTAACTTTTGAAAAATTATATGCAAAGTGCATCTGATCTTCCAAGCAAGAGAAAGGAAATCCTCACTTTCTGGAATTTAGTTCACTTCTTTGGGTCTCTAGGGCTCCATTTAGCCCCTGGAAAAAAATGATGCTTTGTGAACAAAAAGGGTTAAACCACTTCCTCTCACTGGTGGAATCAGGCCCTTTGCTTACAATCAGAAAATAAAAACAGAATGGCATGTTATTCAGATCTCACCTGCCTCTCTAGAATGATGTTTTCCCTTTTTCAACGCCTCCCCAGAATAAAAAGAATGGCTCTGAGGGCTTTACCTGGTG